TCTCGGATCCTTCATCAGAGACTATAGCAGAAGCTGGACCCATAACAAGGCTCGTACGGTGGACCACACAGAACGTGCCCCAGCCACCTCAGTCGTCTTTCTCTAGTAACCTCAGATATCCTCGCCATGCACGCATGCATGCACTACCGGGGACTTGTGCCTAAACTAGTTTATAGTGATGCAGACTTGCACTGGGTCTGATGCGACCTCCCTCTCCTCACCCAGTAGTCTGCAGTGGCAACAGACAGCAAGGCAACCGGAAGTTGGCTTGGGGCAGTGACGGATAAAGCTAAACAACCCGTCTACGCATGCCACGCACGATCTGATGTCCACTCCAAATCTACCAGGATGAAATAAGTGCGACCGGGAGCTCAAGCATGCGAGACCACATTAGGAAAGTGTCAGTAAGCCTAACTTTCAGTCTGCCAGTGGGCACTTCGCAACACATACAGAAATAACTACCAGAACCGAGCTATCCTGTCAATTGGCTGCTTTCCAATACACGCCTTATAGCACTTCATCATAGATTCTCAAGCGACTCAGCTTTATTGTAGTGAGTAATGAGCTGGTACGCTGTGGACATGGATTTCTCCTTCTCCTCTCCCGTGCACCAGTCAAATGCCCGGACCTGCCAGCCACCTGATAATGAAATTGGGCGCAGTGACTGACAAACTCAGAAGGCCCGTCATGTGTACGACGCAAGTCCTAGGCGCCAATTAATTTTACTAGGGGGTTGGCAGATTTGTATAATGCAGTTGACCAAATTGTGAAAAATTCGCGGCCTTGGTGGAATTCGAACCCACACGGCAGGGGAGAATTTTGTATGGCCAACGCTAATAATTAAGTGAGCCTAGTAATTATTCTGGTGGATTCTAGATGATTGCTCGTATGAAATCCTGCCTGAGCAGTCAGGATTCCATACAAGCAGTAATTTGAGCGGGTAAATCAACCCAAGTGTGATTAAATTCAAAGCTTCAGCGTACCTACATAACTCAACGGTAGAGCGTTGGCTGTACAAAAGCCTTCCCTGCTGTGTGGGTCCGAATCCCACCGAAGCCGCTAATTTTTTACAATTGGGTCAACTGAACCAATTAATGTGCCATGATAGGTCAATGAACATGCTTCCTATGTATTTTCTGATATGTGACGTTGCGTCGGCCATTCCGATGACGACGAAGCGGATCTTATGCCCACTGTTTGAAAAGGGTATAAGGAAAGGCGAAGACTGGTCAAGCACCGGAACAGTTTGTTTATTATCCTGAACTTTCGAACTCGTGCAGGGGTTAATCTTCAGAGCTGGTAGCAGCAAAACAGTGACAATTATAGGGATGCAAGACAATTAATTGTCAGTGACACAAGTCTGGAGATTACTGTGCAGGGCTCTGTACGCTGGCACCAAATCAATACAACGACTGATTGAATCCCCATTTATGGACAAGACTGCAATAACTTCTCGGCTCATCTTGGTTCCAGCGTGGACGATTCTCTTGATGATTCCGAAATTTGACTCATGGCGCGTTTCGCAGGTGTGGACACCAGCTTGCGATATTTTGTCGCCCCGTCGTCCAGCTGGCTTGTATTTATATATGCGTGAACCGAGCATGTGCGAAAATGAACATAACCTGGCGACCAGTCTTCTCCTTTCCTCCTACAAATACCTAGAACTCGAGCCATTGCATCCATTCATGAAAAAGGTATGATAGCTACGGGCCATGGCGCGTAATTTGGGGATGTATATGCACCTAGGGATGTGTGTGGTCAGATAGGGCAGAGTGGAGTTATTAGGTCTATGATGCGGCTTTACCTAAGATATGCATGGGAGTGCATATGGCCGAATGGGGTCATTTAATGGTGGGATATCCTTTGTCCATTTAGGTATTTGGGGTGAGTGCGACGGGTGTATACCGGGACCCTGTTGTGTTCGTTAGAGCTAGCAGTCGTTGCTGAAGCGTTTTCAGGTGTGTGTGTGTGTGTGTGTGTGTTTGATATAGCATAGTACTGATGACGTTGAGGTGAATTCCTCTCGCGTGAATATTTCCCGGCAGCTAAGGCCATTAGGGAAGAAGCTAGCTACCATGA